GTCTGGATCTGTTGAACTTCATAGTTCAGCCCTCTGGTTTCCGTCTCCAGAAGAACTAACAGCCTCCTCTGTGGAGCTGAACTCCACCTGTCTTAGTCAGCTCAGCTCCACCGAACACAAAGAACTTCTGGAGAACACGGGCATCGATCCCGCTACCTCTGGCATGCTAAGCTAGCGCTCTACCATCTGAGCTAACTCCCCTCTGACATGGAGGTCTTTTAAACCCCCTTTCGTTCCCATAAAGCCTATAAAGTTGTAGCTGCTCATGCGTCCTCTTCCTCGCTTCATGCTTCTGTTGTAGTGGAATCATGTTACTGCTCATTTGGGAGCAGAGAAGCTCTGCTGGAGCATTGTGGGAGTTTAGCAGCAATGGGACCATGACAGAGGCTCTGAGGAGGTTCATGAGGTCCAACCAGAGCTCACCAGTGAGAACGAGCTGGACTTCAGCAAAGAGGCACAAGGACCCAAGCAGTTCTTATCATGTTCTAATATCAGTATCTGTGTGCAGGTCTTAACGGTGTTTTCTGGGCTGCATGCGGTCCGTCTGCAGCGTGTTCTGGATCAGTCTTGACCTGTTCCTTTGGTTTTGTTTGCAGCCTGAAGGAGTGAGGCAGGAGGTTTACTCTGGAGGACGACTCGACCCTCAGGGACTCTACGGTACGGAGACGCTGGTGGTCTGCAGCCGAGCCAACGATCCGTCTGCGGGTCACTGAACCCGGTGTGTTCTCTGTGTTTCAGGTTCAGAGAAGAGAACGGTGGAACTGAAGAACCAAGTACCAGCCAACATGGTTCCCAACACGGCTGTGGAGAGAATGCTGACGATCAACGGTGTGAAACACAGCAGCTCAATCCACATTTACATCCAGTCAGTCAGAACCTCCAACCGGACCTCACAATCAGCTGGTGGCTGGTCAGAACAAGTTCTAGACAATGAAGGGCGTCTCCACTGATGTCATCTTTCATGTAGTTATTGCTGTATTCATTGGTATTAGTGGCAGTTATTGATCCTCCACAGACAGGATGCACTTCAGAACCGAACATCCTGAAGGTTTTAAAACCAAGCGCGATGACGAGGATGGGATTCGATCCCAAGCGTGCAGAGCACAGTGGATTAGCAGTCCATGGCCTCAACCACTCGGCCACCTCGTCTCATGGCAGCGCTCTACCATCTGAGCTCATGGCCCTGTCGCTCCTCCACCGGTCCACATGTCAGGGCTGCATGACCAGTACCTGAACGTGGTGCGGAGACCCGATTCACAGCCGCACACTCACATCACTGATCACCTTCGGTTGCACTTTAAGTTTTTGCTGCATCGATCCTGTTCCCTCTCACATGCCACCCTCTCAGCTAAAGGAGCAGTCCACTGAAAACCTGTCACGCTAAAGTTCTGAGTCCTTCAGCAGAAGTGTCTGAACTTTGTGTTGGTGCCTGAAGTCGTTTCACCTTCAGTCGTTGTGTCTGTGTGGAAGTTAAACACTAAAAGTCCAGGACTGAAGCAGCTCCGTTCACTTTGTGTTTCAGGAGAGATTCTGGGTGAAGTCCTCACCGTGATGCACAACCCTGAAGGCCTCCGGCAGCTCGTCAACCTGCCGGCCGGGTCGGCAGAGGCGGAGCTCGGCGGGCTCCTCCTCCTCGTCCAGGTGTACCAGTACCTGGAGACGTCGAGGACCTGGAACGTGCTGGGAGGAGACGTCCAGAAGAACGCGGCTGACCTGAAGCAGAGGATCAGGGAGGGTGAGGAGG